AGCAATGTTCGCCGCATCGAGCAAAACATAAATGATAATTCTGTTGCTCATTAGAATAAAGAATGTCGAAATTATGAAGTTTTGTTTGTGTTTTTTCGACTCTCTGTCCTATAATCACTAAGAGGACCATTTTTCCATACTTATCATGGTTCAGTCAGGTTCACAACGGGCGACTGTATGGTAAGAGGGCCCAACATATCCGGTATAAACCGCCCATGAACAATTCTTGGGGGAATTTTTCAATCACCCCGTTCGATGCCGAGTCCCAGAACGATAAACTAGCGCCTTAACAGCCTCAGACATCCGGCTATTAATTGATTTATAAGTTGATTTCGATTCAAATTGTTCCATATGTAAGCATAAAAAACCCTATAAAAATTCTTCGTAATCCATTTTATCATGGATAAGGATAGAATGGATTACGTAGAATCTATATAGGGTTATTTTATGATTATCTGTGGGTCAATTAAATAAAATTCAACTTATAAATCAATTAATTTGAGTTCATATTAATAGTAAGGATCGATTTCTGTTGTGAGTGAATCAGATGTTAGCAATATAGCCGATTAATTAAGTGCTGACAGCCTGGACAGAGAATCCCATTAAATCCAAAATCATAAATTGAAAATTGAAGTAACTTGTATTTAATTTGCTATATTTAATTAAATATAATTACAATGCCATATTTATATCAAGTATTCATTTAGTACGGCTTTTAAGGCTATTTTCTCATTAATTAGAGCAGTTATCAAGAAATTACTGTGTTGGTAATCTAGTAATGGCAACAGAAAGTGATTACATAGCAATTTTAATTATGGTAATTCACTGCAACTGGATACTTAAGTTCACACACAGACTATGAATTAACATAGTTCAATGCTTAAAACCAAATAAATACTGTATTAATATTTATATAGGAAAATATAAATCTATTTTTGTTCACGTGTAATGCTAGTTACATATGTATGAATCAATCCAATACACGTGGATTCATTGTATGTTAACAAACCTACACGTATGGAGAAACACTGGTATACGTCATATATATATATATATATATATATTGTTGAAAAAATTAAACTACAAAATGTCAAATTCATAGAAATTTTGTTATTCGTGACATCAAAATAATAATTTTGCTATTCATTATTACTATTATTATTGCATAAATTACGTAAAAGTGATCTTATAATGATTATTTAACATCAAAAGTTTTAAAATAAATATTATTTTTAAAAATAATTTAAATATTTGAATGTTTTTTTATATATATATTTAATAAATTCAATGATAGTAAATATAAAATAATTCTAAAAGTTATTTTAAGTACAAAAATTTGATGTGAAATTTCTTAATTTCGTTTCTTTTCGGTTGAAGTTTCTATGAAATAAATTAGTTAAAAGACAATTTATCTGCTTGGTTTAACAATTAAATTATTATAATAAACTTTTTCCATAAATTAATATAATAAGAGGGAAAAATATGCAAGAAAACATTATTTTATATAATAAAAACTGGCAGATAAACGAAATTCGTTATTAATGAATGAACTTTTTTTTTGGCAATTTAACAATTTTTAAATTATTTATTAATTATATTTTAATAAAATTCTTTTATCTTATATGATTTTAATTTTCTTACTTTTTATATATAAATATTCTACTAAAATAATAGTTTTTTTTTTTATTAGTATCAGTTACAGTACACGAAATTTTCGGCTTTTCTATCTGTAAATCAACGTAAAAGATATAATTTAATATATTAGGAGATAAATTAGACTGCTAGAAACTTGTTTCTAGCAGTCTAATTTCTAGCAGTTTAATCAAGTTTGAAATGTATTGATGGAAAGTTCTTAAGCGTGTAGCTTTCCAGCAACACATTCCTAACCACTAATGTATTTTATATTCATCATAATTGGCATATTAGTAGTTAAAATATGTTGCTAGAAGGCTGCAAATATTCTCTTCGGGTTATAACTTTCCAGCAATAAACTCATAATAATAAATAATCGCTCGTTTACTGTATATTACTTTTAATAAACCGTAGTTTTCTTTACTATTTTAATTAATTTTTTACATATAAAACATACAGTAGATATGATTAAACAATAACTTAAAACAATTTTATATTCAAAAAATATCTCAAAACATTTAAAATTCACCAGAAAACTCAATTTTATAAAAAAAATAATTAATCATAATACAATTTAAATGAATTATTTAATTGAATTCAACCATTAAATAATAAAAAAAATAAATTAAATTGCTTTTGTTAATTAGATAATAACAGATTATTCTATTTTTAAGAAATAATTTCAAAGACCTTGTGATGCAATATTGTGTAAAAAAAAACAATTAAATAGTAATAATATATGCATATATATTAACAAATAGGAAACACAAACAATCATTTTTTTTTCCTCACGTCAGTAAATGATATAAAAATATATCATGTGTAAAATAACAATTTTCATATTTAAAATTAATTTTTAAAAATTCAAAATTTATATTGTTTAATCTTTATTTTTTTAAATTTAAATATATTTATTAAATGAATGAATAATTAAATAAATTATTTGACTTATTTCATCTTAAAATATGTTAAAAATATAAATAAATCTATTAAGTAACAGCTGTTAAATTTCTATGAATATTGTTAAATTTAACAATTGAATACTATAATAAGTTTAGGGTTTTGTTTAGATTTTTTTTAAAAAAATTCAAAAATAATTTAAATTTATATGATATAATAAAATAAATTTTAGAATAAGTTGTATATGTACTAAACATATATTTGTATTGACAAATAGATAACAATTCACTTTTGCTCTTTACTAAATTTTAATGTAAAAGTAATTTTTATCTTTCCTTTTTATATTACTGGAAAGTATGTACAAGTGTAAACGTATAGGAAACAGGATGAGAAATAAAGAACTGTTTTATTTATGATAAAAACACATTGTCATTACTTAAATTTTGTATTAAATTTATAATTGTACAATGAATGAAATACATAATGCTGTAAATTATGATCCAGAAAAGGTATGTTTATAACATAACTTTTCTATATTTTTAGTTATAAAATTGATCTTAATTCTTATTGTTTCTATATAAAAGTATATGTATATATATATATTTTTTTTAAATGTTTTTATTTACTTAAACATAGAATAATATTTTATACTTATTTCCTAAGTATTAAACTTTATCTAATCTAATTTTTTTTCCTAGAATTATGTTATAAATTTTTATACATAAAATAATTCTTAAAAACATTTTATAGATTAGATTAAATTATAAGAAAATTATAAAATATTATAATTTAATATTTATATATTGATATACAGGATAGATATTAA